CAACAATAGCCTTCTTAGATTGTTGGAAATAATTTGATTTATAATGTTGATAGAGAGTTATTTCGACTTATGTTTCTCAAGAAGATTTTAATATCATATAAACAAACAAATAAATAGCAATGAACATAATAGAACTTCATATCAAGATAAGTTTAGAATAGCTTTAATTGAGACACGCCAAAAGTGTTGTCCTAAGAAGAGATATGTCTTTTCCGCACAGAATATCTGTCATTCTTTTCTCGAGATACAACAATTCCAGTGAAGATACGAGACAGGTATGAAACTCTTTATTGCGAACAATCACAACTCAAGTTGCCCAGAAAAACACATAAATCATACAACAAATAGATGCATATTATGTATGGAGAAATATAGAAAATAGTATATTTCCTTCGTAAAAAATCCTCCAAAATGAGTTATAGTGGTAACCTGATCTCAAACAGCTAGTTTGGAGTCATACTCCCAATTTCAATACACATTAAAAATATTAATAATACTAGGATGATGACACACACACACACGTATATACATATATTACCGGTTTTAAAGAATCTTATGAAATATAAATACTGAGAACATTATTGTGGTGGGTTATACATAATAATTATTAAAAAAAAAAATTAATATTAAATTATTCTAACAAATAATTTCGAGAGATTGTAGTTCTCTTATACTATAATCAATCGACGGAACGGATTAGAGTAAACTATTTAATTTGGTCCCGTTAACTTTATTCGGTTAAACTCACTCATCCAAAAGAGCCCTATTCATTTGAAATCGCAATTGGGGATGGATAGTGTTTTTCTATGCCGTTAGGCTAATAAGTTCGTGGTCTTAAACCTAGCAGTGACAGCTCAGTTATGTAACTGTCAAAAGTACAAAAACTAATCTTCCCGCGTCACAACGTTGAAGTAGTTAAAGAATGTCGTTAAGTTCGTTATACACAAAATCTATATCAGCCATCACCGAAATTGCCGCTTGTCCATCCTTTCTTCTCCAACTCCCCTCGGAAAAATCTGATAAAAAAAACTCCCTAATAATAAACCCTAATTTCTTCTCTCTCTCTTCCAGTGCCCTAAATTCCCTTTTCAATTTCGTCCTCTGCGTTATCAATACTGCGTTCAATCTTATTAAAATTCTCTGTTTTCAATATTTGATTTGCATTTGCTTTTAGTTTCTCTTGTGGTTTGAATCGGATGAAAAGGTAAAAGAGCTGATCAAGGATTTCCATGAAGATTCAAGTAAGTAAATTTCTTGGCGCTTCAATGTCGATTATTGATTCAATCCTTTTGTGCAATTCTCGGTTCTATTGAATTCAAATCTGCCCAAATTGCAATCGAACAATGCGATAATAGTTGTAATTTGGCGCGTACCCAATGCACGAGTCTCCCACCATTGGAGGGTTAGATGTATGCAACCTTACTATGCAAGGAGAGAGGTTGTTTCTGCATAAGAAAACCTAGAAGCTGGCAATAAATGTGGATTGGTGATATGTTCCATTTCTGCATAATATATCAACCGATGATATTTGATTTTTGATATAGCAAATTGTGAGGGACATGTAGGGTTATGCATGTATGTTACCTTCCAAGAACTCAACAGATAGCCATTAAAATTGCCTCTCCTCGGATATTCCCTCATTTCCAAAACCTGTTAATGATGTCATCTTAAGTCGAAATTGCCTTTTGCTCACCATAATCAGATTGTTGAACCCACCCTCTGTGCATTTCTCTTCCTTCTTGAGTTCTAATATTTTTTTAAAGGAGAGAAACTCTAAAAGAAATGTGCAAAAAACTTTGTTGTGTTTATGTTTGGTCAGAATCTTTTATGTTAAGTCTATTTCTTTTTTTTAACATTTTTATTGAGAACCAAGCAAAGAAACAAGTATGTTTTTTCCCTTTTCTCTCTGAGAAGTTCGATATACCTGCAAGAAGTTCATAGCCATGAAAACTTCAGCAACCAAAACGTTTCTGCAAATTTATTACCGGCTTCAATTACCTTTAAAGTTTATTACCTGACATGTAGATGGATCTATTGTTACGTTTTCTGTATTGAATTTTTTCTATATTCATTACTGTAGCATATTAATCAGTGAGTGAGTACTTATCTTCCCTGTTTTGTTGGCCTTTCATGCCATCATTAACCTGCCTGTGAATTTAATATGCAGTACTGTAACTACTACTCCCTTCCTGCACAACGGGAAATTCTACAATCTGAGATGGTCTAAGTCCTTTGAAGACTTAGTGTAACCAGAAAAGAAATGGAACATGAAAATGGAAGTGGAAGTAATAAGCATTTAAGGTTGCATCTGGGGGCTACCAATGACAATGGCAATTTAGTTATTCAAGACAAAATTTCCAGCATCTCTTCTTCTCATTCATCTTCGTCCAGTTCTATTGCCTCTTCATCTCCTGATCAAGATGCTCTTAGGTCACCTAGAGCAGTACCCATATCATCATCAGATTTTTCTCCTCAGACGCCTGAGTGGAGCATGGTAAGTGCATCCCCAAGGTCCGGATCTGGGCCTCTATTCTCACCAGAAATTTTTACTGAGACTCCTGAGTTGAGCACCCAAAATGTGTCCCCCATGAGAACCCCACCGCTCCAAACAATGGCACGGCCTTCAAGTTATGACCCAAATCGAATTCCAGCATCTGTTTTTGCTAGTAAACCTTCAACAATCATGGATTGGAGTGTTGCATCAAATGAGTCGTTGTTTAGTATTCACATGGGGAATAACAGTTTCTCTAGAGATCATGCTATTCTAATGGGAAAGTCTGGAGAACTGACCAAGCTTGACGAGATGAATTATCCTTCCAACCGGCTTTCTGTTACTGAAGCCAAGTCCAATGAGTTGAACAACTTCTCATCCAGCCTGCCTCCTGTTATTGAAGCAACAGCAGACACAGACAGAAAGAGTGTTGATATGTCTGAGGACTTGAGAGTAAAACACAAGACATCTGAGGACTTAAAGATGGAGTTGAAGGAACATGTGGAAGTTCATAAGAAGGAAAAGCCGTCCCCTGCTGATCAGGCACGTGTTTCTGATACCGCTTCCAGCATTTCAGATGGTAAAGGAACACCTCGTATTTGTGCAAGTCCCCCTCGCTTTTCTCATGAGAGTGGTAACAGTGCCAGTTCTTTTGCCTTTCCAATGTAAGGAGCTGATTGCTTATATTTGTATGCCAACTGTAGAAAAAGTTGTATCCCTATTTCTCCCAAATGCACAACATGAACACTGGAAGCATGAATCTCAGCTCCTCCATTCCTTATCCGTTTTGTTTTTAAATATAACAAGCTACACTGGAGAGGGGAATGTCATCTGCCGGCTGCATTGACAAACATGGTCCTCTCCGTCAACACCCCCCCCCCCCCCA